CCCACAATCAAAGTAATTCCATGATACTACTTGGGCATTTGTGATGGCTAATCTTGGTGCTCAACTTGAATACATCCGGATTCAGCTAAAACCCAAGCCTGTGAGGGATTTTCTTAATCCAATTATTTAAAGTAGGAAGACCCACAGTAAATCTAGACCACACCTCCTACTGGCAGCCTCCACAAAAAGACATGGAAGAAGGAAACTTTGCCTTTTGCCTGCTTGTCCTCACTCTCACTGACAAGTTTGTCTACACTGTTGCTGTGAGATTCCGACATAAACTAAAACCCAGCAACTCTGTAGGAATCCTTCCAGACTCCAGCACCAGACTGGGATTGCATAAACATCCAATCTCAGTCTGAACAACTGCTGGACCCTCTGTGTTTCCATTGTGAGACAGACACTGTGGACTACATGAAATAATAAATTCCCTTTTAAGCCAGTTCTATTCCTTTAGAGAACTTTGACTAATACAGCATCCCAAAGTCAGGGTCCCCCTCAGAACTGAAGAGGCAGAGCTTGCTGTGGGAATGAGAACTCACCTTTACACAGACTTCTGTTGGTCCCTCCATCAACTGAACAAATGCAAGGATTCTGGTCCTCCTGGGAAGGATAACCAATCTCTGTAAGAACCTGTGGCAGTTTGTGAATAGCAACTACGACTGTAGCATTGGAACTATTAACTATCTGCAAGAGCGCAGCCATACCTCTGGGCGCCTGCACCCCAAGAGCACCATTGCCTTTTATTGCTTACTTGTTTTTGTGGCTGAGGATTGAACACAGGGGCCTGGTGCATGCTAGGCAAGAACTTTACCTCCGAGCCCCTCCCCCAGACCTCTTCATTCTGTACTGAATGTTTCCCTGAAGTCAGAGGTTATTAAGAAATTTCTTTTTAAAACTCCCTTAAATTTGAGAAGCTAGATTCTGATTGGTGTATAGGCATATACTTCTAGAGATTAAATTTTCATGGAAAGAACGGCCTTAACTTTTGAACATGTTGGCTAATTTACAAGTGTTTTAGGAGTGCATATAATTAAGGTAAGTCTTCAGCAAATGAGACTGGTTTAATCATTGGGATTTAATAAAAACAGTCACATCTTCTCTAATTAATGCTATAAATAAACATGAGCTATGTTTTATTCTACTGTATGTGCTTTCTCTAAACTTGGTCAGGCTTAGTCATTATATAAGATAATGTTATTCATAGTAAATGTTGAAGGTTATAAAAAATACATAAATTTGTGTTTAAGCAAATTGAATCATTATTCCAAGAAACTCCATATTCCAACAGTAATTATGACTTTTAGTATGTTGGATTAAACATTATTTCCAGGATCTTTGATTTAAATCCTTGGGTTGATATTAAATTGCCTTATGCACTAGATGATGGGTATCTGTGCCCCAGTGACTCGCTTGTTCCTGTGATAAAATTAAAAGGGGAAAGGTTGATTCCAGGCAACAGTCCCTTATCAGGACAAGCCAGGGCGGCAGGAGCTGGAAGCAGCCAGTCACATCACGTCCACAATCAGACGGGAGATGGAGGGATAAATGAATGCAAGTGCCTGCTGGCCTCCCTTTCTCCATCTTATATGTCCCAGTGTCCCCTACCCGGGGAACAAATGGTCCCACCCACAGTTAGCAAGCATCTTCCCATATCAATTACTGAAATCAGGCTAACTCTCGACAGACATGGCCAGAAGCACATCTCCAGGTAGTTCTAGATTCTATCAAGTAGAAACACTAACCATTAAGGAGCTCTCTCCTTAGTACAAAGGGAAGTGTTGACAGTTACACGTGGTTTTGAATTTGTAGGTATTTGCTTCCAATTTTATATGCTTTGTTTGTTATTAATGAGTGTATGATTTTGTCTCTGTGAGGTGGTCCATAAGGGAGAAAGGAATACACCTTTAGCCAGTAGTTAAGTAAAAAGTGGGCTCTCTTAGGGAAGTGGCTGGTATGTCACACAAAGCTCACCAGGAGCTGTCATGAGGTTCACTCTATGAAAGGGAAGCTTTACTTTGCTTAACATATAACTAAAGCCCAATAGGGTGTCAAACTCTTGTGATCTCAGTGGTTCAGGAGTCAAGAGTTAGCAAGATCAGGAGTTCTGAGGCTAGACTATGAGGGCCTATCTCAAAATAAAGTTAAAATGGCTGGGAGATAGCTCAGTGATAGAATACTTGCCAGCATGCATGAGACACTGGGTTCGGTTCAATCCCCAACACTTCAAAAAATTGTGTGTGTTTGTGTGTGTGTGTGTGTCTGTATGTCTGCGTGTCGTCTGTGTAATTGCTGGTCACATTGCCTCTGTCGTCAAGAAATGGAGGACAGGATCTAGGCTACAAAACCCCAAGGCCCACCCCCAGCAGCTCCTCAGACTTTCAGAACAGAACCACCTGCAGCGACCAAATGTTCAAACACCCGAACCTGTTGGAGACATTTCACAATGAAACTACAACTCTGTGTTTGAGGCTGCGACCACACGAAGCAACAGCATTGCATGCGCTTCTGCTTTTCAGGTAAAACAGGAGTTTCCTCCCAAAGCAACATTTCTCAGTTTTCTTTTCTTTCTTCTGTTCTTCGAGACAGGATTTCTCTGTGTAGCCCTAGTTGTCCTGGAACTTGCTCTGTGGACCAGGCTGGCCTCGAACTCAGAGATCTGCCTGCGTCTGCCTCCCGTGCTCCACCACTACCACCTGGTTTGACATTTCTCAGTATTTAAAAACATTTAAGATCCTGGAAGCCAGAGGGGTAGTTCAACGATTAAGAGCACTTGCTGCTCTTGCAAAGGACCCAGGTTCAGTTCCCAGAACCAACATGGTGTCTCACAACTAGCTGCCACCCCAGTTCCGGGGCATCTGATGCCCTCTTCTGACCGCCTTTCACATCAGGCACACATGTGGTACACATACATACATCTAGGCAAAACACCATACACATAAAGTAAATGGGAAAAAAAAAAACCTTCAAAAATGATTTTTTAAAAAAGATACCCCTCAACTTAAAATTCATAGAGGATCTCAATGAGCTTTTGCTTTCTGGGAGCACACACACACAAGGTTATAACTATTCATGTTTCCATCTTGGACACTGAAAAAGAAGATTTCATTTTAAACACCCGTGAGCAGATACTTTGTGAGCAGAGCAACAGTGAACACTGCGTGTAGCAATGGTATCTTACCGCTGGCTTTAAACCAGCCCTGGCCCTGCCGACCCCTGACACCTGCCCGCAAGGGACATGCCAGCTTCTCCAGACCACAGTGAAGGACCAGATTACACAGTGAACTGTTTGTCTTGGATTTTTCCCTCCAGATTCCGGGGTCTCTCCCGAGCCCTCCTGCTTGGTGTGACTCTGTGTGGTTGTTTGCACAGGCACAGGAAGACTGTTCTTGGCTTTACTAAGGAACCATTGTGAAAATGGTTATGCAGCATGGCTTTACTCGGGATGCATGATCGGGTATGACCCTTGCATTGGACAGGGTTCTCTAGAGGAGCGGAACCGATATATACATAAAAGAAGGATTCCCTGATGTGCTTGCATGATAGAGCCCACACACTCCATCAATGGCTGTCTGTACACTGGAGAAGCTGAGATCCTGGTGGCAAGTCAGTCAGCAAAGCTGGATGCCTTATTAGGCCTGGTCTGGTGCTGCGGGCCTGGAGGACTCATGGATTGTGGCTGATTACCAGTATATTTTGGAAAGCCAAAAAAAAAAAAAAAAAAGTTGGAGTCTGGTGTCAACAGGGGACAGCAGCAGACCTGTTTGTGATATGTTCACTCTGCTGAACTACAAAGATAACCCAGAACCTTAAAGGCTTTGTAGCACTGCCCACATCTCTGGTGCTGTAAGCCTTTCTGTGGTGGGTTTAGTCACAGCCTCCAGCCACCAATGGATGTTGGAAGTCAAATTTCAATTAAATGGACCTATAAAATACTAAAGAGCTGGTTCCAAAGTACAACAACTATGCAGAGGTTAGTGGCCACCGCATTCAACAGCACACAGAATAAGCTATTTCCACCAGCCCAGAAAATTCTATTGGACAACACAGGCTTACAATAGAAGTTAACTATGTCCAGACTGGAGGGCCATATCCAGCTACCTGCCTGTTTGGGTAGTTTTCTGAATCACAGCTGTGCCCACCCTTGTGTGTGACCACTGACTGACCTGAGCTATCTCAACATGAATGGTTACAGTTTGTTAACCATCAGACACCGACAGTCTGATCTTTATCAGAAGAGCTCGCTGCCCCAACCCCGTGCTGACTGTCAGAATGCGGATGAGGATATTTGTGTAAGGACATTCATTGGAATCTCCAGTGTGTCCACGCATGTGTCTCTCCCAGGAAGAGGCAGAGGATGCACAGCTGTCAGCAACTGGAACTCAGATTCACAGAGGCTTGAACAGGCACCTCCTCCAAGGGGGCCAAACTCAGAAAGAGTGGTGTGTGGTAACCAATCTGGCAGAAATGAAGAGATTCTAAAGACACCTGTGCCCCTCCCTTTGGCTGTCAGACTAAGGAAACAATGGTCCCCAAGGAACTGAGATTTTCCCAGGAATCTCTTATTAGGGTGAATCAGGCAAGGAACTTCTCCCAGGAAGAGATTTTAGACAGTTCTGACCTCGGTACAGGACTGACTGAAGCAGAGATAATGAGTCAGTTGTAGACGGGGCCCAGGACTCTGTGCCTGCCTCTTACCCTCTATTTAAACAGACCCAGAGAAGGCTTTTTGAGGAGGGTCACAGAATTCTTTATTCGTTCTTCTCCCCGGCACTCTACATTGAATACTTCTTTCTCACTTTGCTTTTCACCATTATCTGTCTTTTCACCTGGCATATTAAGGACAAGTAGCAGAACTCAGATGATTGGGGCTGAAAGAGCTCAGAATCTGACCCTAATGACTATAGTCACAGAGGACTGGGTGCTGCTTATCTACCTGAAAAACAAAACAAAACAAAACAAAAAAAAAAACACATGAGAAAATCTTATATTTGCTTTATTTTATTTTTCATTCTCCCCAGGTCAAGGAGGCAGCAGGATGAACAGAGACAAGACACACTGTTCCCTCACACAGTGCTTCAGCAACCTCTCCCAAACTGACATGCCCCAGGTAATTCTAAGATTGCTCTCTTTTTTTTTTATCACATGATGTTTGATTGGAAAGATGTGGCCTTCTATATGTTCCTCATAACTCCCCTCCTGGTAGGGACAACCTGGAGCCCTCATCCCAGAGCACAGAGAAACTCTGGGTTTGCCTCCTTCAAGCTCTTTCCTGTGATGCCCAAGGCTGACTGCTCTGGATGCCTTAGCATGCCTGGCTCTCTCCACCACAGGACTAATAAGAGTAGCAAAGGGTTTAGGAACTCTCTGGGGACCTAGTTTACATGCACCAATACCCTCAAGGTCTGCTGCTCAGCAATCACCCTTGGATGCTCTCCACTTCTATCCACTCTCAGGAAGACATGCTTTGTTGGAAAAGGGAACAGAGCTGACTCAGGACTCAGTGATGCTCACTTGGAAATAAATGCCTCTATTGTCAATAGAAAGCAGAATGTGTATATAGCAGTTTGGATTGTCCCCTGGGGCCAGAGGGGATAGATTTTTCTTAGGCTGCATGAGAGCATCTCAAATGATAACATCCAGGACAAAGGGTTCCCTGGGTGCTGCAATGTCAACTGTGAATTTGTGAATGCACTGGCGAACTTGAATGTCACGCAAACAGGGGAAGCCCCGATTTCCCTCCCTGGACAGCCAGTGGGCAAGCACCTTTTCCAGATTCCCAGACTGACTCACTGAATTCCCTCACTGCCACCAGCCTTTCTCTGCTGCTCTGTCCAAGGTATTTGTATAAATGAGAACAAAGGAAAGAAAACATCCTTAGCCGCCAGCCCTCCCCCACTTTGGGACCAGCCAAGTCATACAGGCATGTTCCTGGGTGTCTCTTGAATTACAGACAAAATAACAGTGAGGGCCTGCTACAAAATTACTACTGGAGTGGATTTCATTTGCAGTCTGGGGTATGTCTCAAGTGTCCCAGAGAGGGTCACCCACGCTGCCGCCTTTTCCGTCCCCGCAGCTTCAGACGCCTGGCTGGTAGGTTGACAGGCTGCTTCCCAAATGTCTCCATGATTTCTCTTATCCTAGCCATGTTGGTCTTGCTGAGCGTGAAGTCACATCGAGTAGCGCCCATGTCGTAGCCAACCATGCAGTTCTTGGTGGAGGTGATAAAGCCTTCTGCCTTGGCTGTGACCACATACTCACCAGGGTTCAGTAGGCGCCAGTAATCCCCATCACTAGCTGGAAAAAGGAAGCAGGAGACCTCAGAACAGGTCCTTTCTAGCATAAGTATTCCCAGCCCTAGTGTATGACCAGCCCAGCAGAGAGGGCCCTAAGCTCCCAGGATCAAGTGCTTGCAGCACTCTGGAAGTCAAGATGGTTTTCTCTTTGGCAGCTGTTTTAATGTTTCAACAGGACCGGGCTTAGGGTATAGACTCCCCACAGTGCATGAGCCAAGTTGGAGATGAGATCTCCAGAAGACTTGCCTATGTGACAATACAGGCCATTCATTATAAATGTGAACTCAGAAACATTATGCCCTGGCCACAAAATGGTATCCTGCAGTCAGCAGCTCATAGCTTCCTGGCTCCCTTTTGCATAGCTAGGAATAAAAAAGAATGAATCATTTCTAAAAGAGGAAAGGTCTTGGCTTCTAAAAAGTTCAAGAACAGACTGCTGCCCAGGAGATGGCTCTGGTGTCTGCACACTACCCCAGCCCTCATTCTATGGAGTTGGGCAGAGAAACTTGGGAGCTGCAGGGGCAGTTATATAGGAGACTCAAGGCAGGGAAAGACCCATGAAAACTCGCATGCTGCAGGCAGGGCTGAGGAGGAACCCTGATACCCAGTTTCAGCACAGGTACCTTACCCAGTGGATTCTTTCCTTAGCTCTAGGAGGGTCAGAACAGCCTTAGGCAATGGACTCTGGGGCTTTACTAATTCTCCACTGTGGCTTTTTCATGCAGGCCTGAGTACTGGCCTCCTGCCTACTCATTTCCTTTCAGCCATTCTACTCACCTGGCCACACTCAAAGAAGCAATGCTGAGATTCAATTATGGGTGGACTATAGTATAAGACATATGCTAAAGGATGTCATGTCTTCACACAGAGCTATGAGGAGAGCAAGGGAGCCACTCTCACTCTCAGAGACACCACCTTGTAGAAGGAAAGTTGAGAGGGTGAAAGGACACGTGAAGGGCACTGCTTGCTCAGCATGGCTCAAGGAACTCTGGGTTGCAGAGGTCCTTAAAAGGAGAATTACATACCAGCCAGACTGGCCAACATTATACCCAGGACTGACCACCTTGTGTGTGTGTGTGTGTGTGTGTGTGTGTGTGTGTGTGTGTGTGTGTGAGCCCCTGTCTCTTATTCCTGAGCATTAGGATCATAGGAGATTCTTCTAAACTAACCCAGTATATACATGGCTGCTGAGGATTTGAACTCTGGTCCTCATGCTTCTACAGCAAGTGATTTATCCACCAAACCACCTTTGCCCTTTTTCTTGACTCTAAGTAGATGCTTTGTCATTCTGTTTTCTCCCTTTGGCATGCCATCTTTGCTCTTCTAAGGGCTAGCCTGTATTCCTGCTTTACTGAGGGACCCACTTTGCCTTTTTTTTGCCTGTCTCTGTAGCTCCCTGTTGCATTTCCTTTTTGGCACTGGTTGTCATCTATAGTATTGTTATTCTCCCTAACAATTAAGTGTAGATCTCTTCCACCAGGAACCATACTCAGTGGTCAGAGACATCCTTGCTGTTTGTGGCAGTAGTTCTTGGCACACAGTCAGTGCCCAATAAACCAAGCTAAAAAGAAGAAAATGATGGGGACCATCTTCACTTCACAGAGTCAAAACAAGAGATGTTGGTTCTGTAATCTAGAAGTTTCCACTTCTTAAACATGAATCTTCCTGGCTTTCTCTCTGTTTGGCTGCTCTGTCAGAAGATCATGGACAATGCTTTTCCACCTTATACCTGGGGTTCTTGTTATTTCTGCTTCTTGCCTGATGAAGTTTATCCTAGAATTATACACTGGAGGACAAAGAGGGAGCCTCATATTGAGTCCTTTGAACTCATTGAACAACTCCATTGAACACCTGAGCGAGTGTTCTGGAGTAAACACCCCATGTAGCCTCCATGCAAGGTTAACACTGTGGATGCTGCTTGTAACTTACGTTTAGAAAGGGTCACCCCCAAGCCCAGTAAGTGTCATCCATTTGCAGTTCAAATTGCTGTCTTCTAAGCAATGGACAGCATATGAAATTCTAACCCAGACGTGCTTCTTAAAATTCTCTTTCTAGCTCCCTTTCTGGGATTCTGTTTAATGCCTCTGTTTACACTATACAAATTTCTCCTGAAATGAAACTTGTCAGATCATATAAGCCTCATACAAAAATCAAAGCAAGTTCAGCACTTCTGGTGAGCGTGGAGGATGCTTGTAAGGAGCCCTGTGTGGAATATGGGAGGCATCCGCCCAGAGCATGTGCTGGGGAATTATTTATAGGAGGAAGTTGAGGGGGTGAGCTGCATTTCCCATTAGCTCATCCAAACTGCCTGCTTGATTACAGGGCTTGAAAGTCAGAGCCCATTAGGCAAAGCATTCTCATCTAGGCTTACAGGGCCCCAGGGCCTTTTTACCTCCCACTGTGCAGAGCCCCTGTGGTTCCCTACATTGCCTACCAGGCACTAAGTAGTGTAAGGAATGGTGAAGGCTGCTTTAAGAAGTACTCTTTGAAAGGAGCATTTAAGCAATATTTAGCACACAGATTCTACATAGAACAAATGGTTCCTCAGTCATTCACAGAAATTAGCACCCTGCATGGTTGCTGGCAAATTATGAAGACTTGGTCCATGTCTATTGAACTGATGAAGTGATGAAGTGATGAATGAATGAATGAATGAATGAATGAATGAATGAATGAATACTGTGTATAAATTTCCATTCAATACTGAGTGAAGTCTTATGGACAATGGCTGTAGTATCTAGGGCAAGTGGCAGAAATTCTACAAAGCGAAACACTCTATAACTAAGGGGAAACAGCAATGATGCCGCACAACAGCCCCTAACTTCCAAGAAGCTTTCATTGCCACTGGAGTTTTGATAGTTGCTCCAAACTGTCCCAGGGAAGGTGCAAGGAGAGCCAACTAGCCAGGATGGAAGAAAAAAAAAAACAGTGTCAGGGGTCTCTTGGTAATCTGACGGAGGAGATGCTGATTCGGTTCTGAATAAGAAGCTTCTATCTGTGTTCCCCGCACTAACCAGCTGGGCCACTGGCACGCCAGTGGCTAAGTTTACTAAACTCTAATCACAACTGAAAAGCAAGCAACACACTGCAGGGAGCAGGTAGTTCTCACTGAGGCAGTGAATACACGTTTGCCGATACCTGTCCGGATGTCATGGTCAACACCCTCCACGGAGATGATGGCACTCGGAATACCCTTTCCATGTAAATCTCTCACTAGGCCTTTGATGCCTCGATGAACCTGTGGCAAACATGACACACAGTGACTCACCAGCCAGCTCTGTACTCCAACAGCATAAGGAAGCAAGCAGTGGGGGTCACATCAGCCTCAGGCCTCCCCAAGAGCATTCAAAGCACCACATCAGGCTCAGTATGCACCCAGCTCTGCATGGATTTGGTGGAATGTTTTGATTCAGAAATTTTCTCGTCGGAATTAAAATCTTCCAGGTGAAAACATTAAGTTCTGAGTTTCGTTAAAATACACCCACTAGGCTAGGGACATGGTGCAGAGATAGAATGCCTGTCTAGCATTCATGAGACCTGGGTCCTCTCCCTGGGACTGAAAAAATAAGACATAACTTCTCTGGAAACTAGAATTTAATTTTTATTATTTTTACTCTTATTTTTCTTCAATTTTATTTTGAGACAGGGTCTCATTATATAGCCCTGGTTGTCCCAGAATTTGCTGTAGAGATTGGGCTGGCCTTGAACTCAAGACATTCTTCTACTTCTGCCTCCCAAGTGCTGGGATTAAAGGCTTGCACCACCAGCTGAAAGTGTAATTTAGCTTTTACCAGGCATGCTTATTTGGACTTTCCTGGTTTCCATGGACTTGGTAACATAGGAGCTACAGACAAGGAAACCAAAGGCCATCAAAAAATGGGCATTTTTTTTTAAATAAAATGCATCTACTAACTAACCATGTCACACAACACACAGCAGCCAGAGCCTGTACCTCAGCCTCCCTGTCTGTAGGATAATGTGACAATCTATGATGCCTCAGCAACCTCTCAGTGATAGTCTGGACCTGTTATCTACAATGGCAATTTTGGCCAACTCAGACCACAGCTTCAAAGCTGCTGTTTCTACAGTAAAGGCTTCTCCTCCTTTCCCTATGCAAAGGAAAAATGAGCCTTTCCCATGAGGTTCCAAACTAGCAAAAGGTGTACTCACAGCTTTCTGAGGGGAAGAAACTGGCTCCTACCCTCTGTGCCAGGCATCCTACCCTTGCAGGGCAGACTTGGCATAAGATCCAGATGCCAACCACAGAGGTATAGTCACAGCACCAAGAATCAGGTGTGGGCCACAAGTACCACCTGCCTCTCCCATGATGGTGATTTTCGCACCCACAACCCGTTTCTTAGCTAGTTCCTCTCCTCCCAGCCACACGTGCAGCATACCTGTTCCATGAACACAATCAGAGACTCCCGATTATTCTCCCATTCCTCGGGCAGCTCACTCTCGTGCGGGTACTTATCACAGCCCACGTAGATGGACAGCTCAAAACAGTTTGTGTGGAGGTAGCTGAAATCGTTCAGACCTGCAGAGCCAACCAGACGTTTTGACTGACTTATGCTTCAAGTGGCAAGGGGAGATGGCAAGAATGTTCCAGAACAGTTACAGGTCTTCAACTGAAGAGGAGAGCAACAAGAACCTACTATAGATAAACAGGGGAAAGCAAATGTCCCTGGAAAGCCACCATTACTAATCACAAGGGATTAAGGGTTTAAGTCACTGAATCTGGCAGCTGTGAGGGTCTCAGACAAGAGCTTGAGTAGTTCCCTGTTTCAGTCCATTAAGATAGCTAACCTCCATCCTGTCTGTGTGGTCCTCTCTGTGTCTCATTCTTCACCTGCCTCTTCTGGATGTGTCCCTAAGCTATGTCCTACAGGTCACTGCTTTGTCCCCACAAGCTCCACTACAGCTCAGGCTCACAAATGACACAAGTGAGGCCGTGATCAATAAGACTCTGATACAGGATGTGTGTGTCTACAAAGGGCCATGGTCTAGGTTGAAGACTGGAACATGTGAGGTTGTTGGGCAGCTGCCTGGGTATCATTCACACCCAGTGAGCCCCTTCTGCTGTGCAGACAGGAAGCAGCCAGCCTGGGGTATGGATGTCCTCATATGAGCTTCCCTGAGCTGCTGTTACAAATGACCACATCCTGGCTTAGAGCAGACACCCGTCCCCATGTGCTGAGAATCCGGAAGTCCTCCCTCAGGAGCCTTGCACCACCCTCTCTGCCTGCCTGGCTTCTGCTGGCCTACGCATTTCTTATATCAATCACTTGACTCTGCCCAGTTTTCTGTGTTTGCTTTTTCTTCTTGGGTTCATTTAAGTACACATCTCACTGATGCACGGCTAACTCAGTGACAGAGAAGGAACATCTTCCAGGCCCTTAATTACATCTTCAAAGACTTTCTTCCCAGTAAAGTAACAATTACAGGTGCAAAGAAGTGACAAAACAGACATGCTATTTTGGGGTCCTGCTCAAGCCACCATATCCCCCAGTATTTGTGAAAGGAATAAATTATTATGATGAGGGTCACATGGCATAAAGTAGCCCAACTCTTGGGGAGTATGGTGTGCTGGGGATTGGACCCAAGGCATTACTCATGCTCAGCACTGAGTACCTCTCTACTCCTAAGCTCTCCCCTTCCTCGCCCTTCGAAGCATTTCCACCTCTGAAGAGGATGTCCAGCAAGCTGTGCTCTTCATCAGTAGGAAAAAACACCTTTCTATGAGGGAGAAGATCCTCTAAGGAGCCCTCCCTACTCTTTGGGGGTCAGTAGAAGGTGGAAGCTGAAGACACAGACTCTGTGTGGACAGAGAAAAGTGTTCTCTGAGGGCTTCCCTAGTTCGGTTCGAATACAGCCTTTCTCCCTTCCTGCCCTTGCTTTAAGGCCAGACTTTGGGGTGTCAACCCACTGTCCCATTCTGAAAACAATACCAAACCTTTAGCAGCTTAATTTTCTCCACCTGATTCCAGACTCTAGACATTTGAATTTCAGCAACTATGCCCCCTCAGGATAAAGCAAGGAAGTATAAAGCAGGAACTAAAGGTGGCATTAGCCTCACATTCATAGGCCCTGCTAGTACTGAAATAATTGTGATAATTAAAATTGCTTTTCCCCCCCCCCATTTCTTTTGTTTTTTTCTTCCTTCCTTTCTTTTTTCCAAGAAGCATCTTTGAAGTACTGCAAACTTAAGACATGCTGGCAAAACCATGAGAAACTTCAGCTTGGAAAGCTTGGGGCTGCCTGCCTCTGTTGCTGACACCCTGCTCTTCAAGTGAGGCCTTGCTCACGGTGTTCCACATAGAAGGCTTCAATTTTTGGGAAAGGTGATTTCCTGTCTGAAGCACCTGCTACATAGCCTGGTAGTTCTCCCAAACCTTCAGTCCTGGCAAGAGACCTACTTCCTTTGCAACCCTCTCTGTGCCTGAAATCATTCCTATTGCCCACGGTGCCTGCCCTGCTTGTGACTGACAGTTCAGATCTGCAGCCAAGAAGAGAGAACCCCAAGTCACTTTGGAGTTCAAAAGTACAGGCTGCCCGTGTGAGACACTTTGAAATGTACCAAGCCTGGCTCATAACTGCCTTCCGCATTATCCAGGGCAGGATAATGAGTGAGAATGAACAGAGCAGAGAGACTGAGGGGAGGGGAAGAGATTCAAAATCAGATTTCATTAATCTATAAAGAAGGGAATCTTCAGAGTACATCACAGAAGAATGATGGAAAAGATTCAAGCCACCATGTGGCTTTGCCACCGAGTCCCTGAAATAAGGGCAGGCAGAATTGGGAGAGTGAAAACATCCAGTGTTGCCTGTATCAGTATGCAGCGGCCTGCTTTCCATGATGTCATTACCATCCCAACACTGTCAAACTCAACAATATCTGTTTGCAATTTAGTCACAGCAGCCAGATAGATGCATGGATAGATAGATAGATAGATAGATAGATAGATAGATAGATAGATAGATAGATAGATAGATAGATCAGAGATTCCTGTAGGTATGCTTTTATAGCTAAATTTGAATTTAAAACCTTTTAAACCAATACAATAGTAAATGTGCCTGAAAAATTCAAACCAATGTTTATTTTGAACCTTATATACTGCAAAGTCATTGAAAAAAAGTAGAGGAAATATCTCTACTTGGATTGTTGTCAAGAAAAAAAACTGGCATCCTTTCTGATATCTTTTAAAGTGAGTATTAGAATAAGTGTATTTCTGTTCTTTTCTTTTTCAGGAGAGGAACATACCTGAAAATTATATGGAGGCTGAATTTATAGTAAAATAAAATACTATAGAAATTAACTAGTGTGGTGGAATGGAGAAAAGGATAGGCTCTTGATGTCATAGGGCCTCCTAGTTTCTTTTGAAGCTGCTATGGTAAAATATTCTGACAAAAAGAAACTAGGAGGCTATTATCTGACTTACAATTCACAGTCCAACATAGCAGGGAGCTGGGTGTAACGAGTCATCTCCACAGTCAAGAGCATCGAGAAATAAATGCATACGCACGCATATCTGCTTGCTCTGCTCTGCTCAGCTCAAGTCCTCCACTTTTATTTAGTTCAGAGGCATCTACCTAGGGGATGGTGCTGCCCACAGTGGGCTGGGTCTTTCTCACATCAATTATCAACCCATCCCCAAACACACCTGATATAGACAATCCCTCACAGTAACTTGAGGCATTGCTCTCCTCCCAGGTGATTCGAAGTTGTGTCAAGTTGACAACTAAAGCTATTTCACACGTATTTCGTGGTGAGCATTGGTGATGGAACCTTAGGCTAAGTGTTTCTGATCAGCCAGACATGAATTACATCCACATACACTATCTGTGTGATCCTACTGTAGCCTAGAGGGAAACATCACCACCACATTTTCATGCCCAATTTTCTAATAGAAAAGTGTAAGGATTGAGAGAAAAAAATTATCCAGGGTGATAAATTATCTGAATGACAAAGCCAAATTTTAACTATTAGACATGAAAGACTTTTCAATTGTGTTATTGTCTTCACAGTACTCACATTATCAAGGGAAGAAGTGATTTGCATTATGCTGGGACCTTTGACCCTTGAAGATGACCTTAGAGAACACACTATTTTCATCCCTTGCAAGTCTTGACACGTGAACCATGAGGCCTTCTAGTTGCTGCCAGGTAATTTAGAGGTCTCTCAAGGAAGCCTCTTCATCCCTGTGTGGAGGCTGTAGACAGCCAGCTCTGACATACGGCACTGGTGACACTGAGCTGCTAGCCAACGGCCAACAGATGTATGTAACTGTTTCCATCCCATGGAGACCTCAGGACACAGCAACTCAATCACACCCGGGACAGGATTCAGGCTCTCAGTCTCAGATGTTCCCCCAGCTCCCAATGGCTCTAAGCAAAGAGCCCTAGCTTTGCCGCCAGCGTGCCCTGTGACTTTCTGCCCTCTGTAGCCCTATGAACTCTGAGTGTCTCCAGGGCTAAGGGCAAGATCTAACAAATTCCAGCTCTACCAGTTCCTTGATAGGGCAGAGTTTCAGCCATCTCCAGGCTCTCTCATTCATAAAAATGAGTACGCCCCACCCACCTCTGAGAACACAGTAAAGGTGTTAAGGGTTAGCCTTTGGGAAGTGCTGACTGCCGATACATTGGAAGCCACTGATGACCGTCATACTGAGCATACTGATAAGAAGGAACGTGATGGCCTATCTTAGTCAGCTTTACTACACCTGGAATCATTTAAAATCCAAACAACTGAGCACACCTGTGAGGGAGTTTCTTAACTGGATCATTTAAGGTGAAAAGGCTTACTTAAATCTGAGCCACGTTTTCTGATGGAAGCACACATAAAAAGTCATGGAAGAAGGAAACTTTTGCTTTTTGCCTGTTGGCCCTCACTCTCACCAGCAAGTGCACCTGTCTGTTGCTGATGCAGTCCTGCTGGTATTAGAACCTGCTTCTTTAGGATTCCAGCATAGACTGAAGACCAGAAGCTCTCTAAGAATTCCCCCAAGACCCCAGCACCAGATTGGGACAGAATAGATTCTTGGCCTTTCTGTCGGGAGAAGAGCTACTCAGACTATAGCCTCTAAGCCACATATATGTGTGTGTGTATGGACATAACATATATATGTTATTTTATATACTGTATATAATATATTATATATAATATACAATGTACAAAATTATAAGTTATATAGTGTATATTATAATATACATGACATTACATTGTAATGTATATATATTATATATATTCATCCTATGAGCTCTGTTCTCTTAGAGAACCCTGACTAATGGGCAGAGGGCATATGGAGGAGAGGCAAGGTGGTCAACTCTGGACCAACATCTATGATTGTTAAAATTGCCAACTTGACAGGACCTACAGTCACCTAAGAGACACACCCTGCAGTACGTCAGAGAGTGATTATCTAGACTCGGTTAACTAAGGTGAGAGGCCTGAACTGTGGATTCCACTATGTCACAGGCTGGATTACTGGACTGAACGAGAAGGAGAAAGCTAACTGAGTATCAGTATCCATCTCTCTCCACTTCCTGACTATGGATGCAATATAACCAGCTGTCTCACTTTCCTGCCATAATGGACTGCACCCTCGGCGTTGAGGCCATATACCCATACACACACCCCCACACACACATTCAAACATACCACGCATACACTTTAAGCTGCTCTTATGAAATATTTTGTCACAGAAACAGGAAGAGTAGCTAAAATCACCATCAATGGTCATTGGGGACCTGATATTAGGCTGGCACATTTGAGACTTACTTCCGGCCACCGTGTGCCAGGAAGCCCCATTGACAGTGCCCTCCTCCTTCTGAAAGTCTTCTGTATGGCACACTCGCCTCCTGGCATCCGTCATGAGGCGGTGAGTGGAGGCATAGGAATACGCCAGCCAGCGGAACACGTGATCGTCGGGTGTTGGGGTGTGCTCTTGAGTCTTCCACAGGGACCGCACCATGTCATAGGGGTACGCCACCACCAGCTCACCCCCCTGTAGGTTGCCTCCCAGCACGAAGGGGATCTTCTCCATCCAGGCGATGACAGCTCTGGTCTCCGTGGCCACCTGGGAGTGTACAAATTTAACAAAGAGAAGGAAGTTAGTTGCTTCATTGCTCCCACTTTTAAAAAAGGAAAATGTTTGAAAAATTTGGAATTTTATGAGATAATCTTAGCAATATTCAGAATCTCAGTGTCTACTGGAAAACTGGACTTTTTTAAGAGTGATGGATAAAAAAGGGAAGGCCAGAGAAATGTCCAGGTTCCACAGCAGGATATTCTAGTAAATACTGAAGAGAGGTTAAAGTAACATCATTTGTGATTCCACTGAACTCGTAGGTTAGGAGTGTTCACCCCCAACTACTAGCAGCATGAGAAAGACACGCAGCCAGTCGCAGATCTCCAGATGAAATGCACACACCCCAAAACCACAAGCCTGAACCTGACATGCTTCTATCCACGGCATCCGCTGACTTTTCCTGCAAATTGCCAGACAGTGAATACTTGGAGCTTTGAGAGCCAGGCAGGCTCTGTCACAGCTACCCAACTGTGATCCTGTAGCAAAGCAACACTGTGGACAAAATGCAATCGCGTGTCAATAGAGGCCACCCGGGAAAGCAGGCCTGTGTAGGCTGTAGTTTGTGGATCTCTGCTCTGTCTAGTTTGAGTCAGTCTCAGAGTCATCCTCAGTTCCCAGAAAATATAGAAGAATGTGACATCACAGGAACATATATACCCTCGGCTCCCAGAGGCAGGAAAGCCAGCTGTTCATGCACAACCAAGGGTGATGAGAGGAGATATGCAAAACAGAGAAGAAGAGAAAGTGATGGCAGGCAGCCTGTTAAGGGAAACATAAAATGACTTATAAAACAACAGAAAGAAATGGGCTTCATTTGAATCTAGATTTAATCAAAGGGGGGTGGGGCCAAAGTGGGATGAGAGAAATGAACAGGGAGAGGGAGGTTCACTGATTGGTATAAGAAATGAAATGGGTACTCTGACTGGATACTTTGCAATGACAAGAAAAAACTGATCAGGGGGTATAACTCTTTGCCTCGGATGGAACCCACTTAAAATCCAGATGTGGTAGCACACATCTGTAATGAGCTTACAGAGAGATGAGAGGGAGGGCCAAGAAACTTACTGAGAAGCTCGCTGGCCAGTTGGCCTGGGTATGCCAGTGTGGTGGACAGCAAGAAAGATCCAGTCTAAACAAAGTGTAAGGCGAGAACTGACTCCTGAAAGCTGCCATCTCCACCCACAGAGGGGTGCCATGGTGGGCATGCCCCCACACTCACACACGTACTGGAGCTCACACACGGGAAAAATAAAACTGAAAAAGAAGTGACTTATTTTAACATAATACTGGTAATATCTGTGGATTTAGAGGACAGCTCCCTGTAATTTAGAGATGCCTGTTAAAATGTTTACAAATAAAGTGGCATGATGATATGTCTGCTTTAGTAAGAGGGAGGAGGAATGCCCAGGTAGAGGAAGAGGCGTGAGTTGACACCTGTCAATGCTGGCACCAGTGCTTGTGAGTACTCTACAGCTTCCTTCACTTTTATACATTTGACTTTTTATGGGGGAAAAAAGTTATAAAAGAGTAAAACTGCTAACGTTAAAAAACTTAAGTTAAAAGGTAGACATGGTTTAATACAGACATCATATTATAATAATCATGTAATTACATAATCAGATTGTAATAAATTGCTGATTGTCACACGGAGGTAATTTCAGCAAGACAAAGTTGATGACAACAGAGGAACTCTGGGAACCACTTACTGTGCAGACAAAAGTGCTGACTCGGGCATGCGATGTGCTTGCTGAGCCTCATTAAAGCTGATTCTGATGTTTAAGCACACCCCGGGCCCTGGGCCAGGTTAATCATGGAACACAGCTCGCTGCACAGAATCAATACTATTCCATCTAGTCCACTCTTTGATCGCACAGTTCAACCCAAGAGCCAGGACTCAGCAGCAGTTGTTACGCACCTGTGTGATTTTACCCTCATCGCACACACCCATCGCTCCCCATCAGAAAAAGTGCCCTACCTTAACTGAGGTGGTTCTCATCTCCCCTCTGTCTTGCACATAAAGATATAAAACTTACTGTTTGGTTTTACATATCATCTCATTTTTTTTGACCCAGTTTATGCTCCTAAGACTCATTCCTGATTTTGATGAATGCTATGGCTCGCTCTTTTTCACTTACAATCTTTACCATCATTTATCTACACATATGATAGTGACAATAAGTAACTGGTCTTTCGCTATGAGGAGCTGTGTGCTTTGAACTCTCTTGTATGGTGTTCTGGTACACACATCACCAAAAGTGAAATGGCCACCTGTCACCAGAACTCTGTCTCATATATGTCATCAGAAGTGGCACCGTATATATACCTAGCAATGGGAGTATAATTGACGTGGATGAGGCTAATGATAGTAAAAAAAAAATCTCATGCATTCCGAGGATGGTTATTTTGTTTCTTTACAATTCTGTAGCTATGAAGAAACTCAAACAACTCTGCAAAGGATCTCCAGATACCAGCTTGAAAGGTGGTGATGACCTAGCACTGTCCCCTGCTGCCAGAGAAGATAAGAAAGGAAAGATATCTCTGTCTTGTCTTTCCACGCCACATCCTCTGCAGACGGCAGCTGGCATTATTTGGCCCTCCTCTGCCCCACAAATGGGACAGATGTTTTTTTTTTTACTCACAGTGGCGTTTTCAGACAGAAACCACTCAGGGATGGGAATGTAGTGGTTGGGAACTTTTCTGGGGACGTTCTGCCGGTCCTCTGCCTCCCAGAGCAGCGAGTTTAAATCTGGAAAGTTGTTGTTGATGTCAATCCCATCGTGGGTCCAGCGTCCCAGGGACCAGCCTCCCAGCTCGGAACCCTGGAGAAGAGTCAGATTGTGCAAAGCTTTCAGACTGTGAGAGAACCTAGGGTGAGTGATTTGTCTGTGTGTCCTGTGTGCTTCTCCAAGTCTCTGGATGCTCTTGGCCCCAGAAAAGACATCACAGGAGAATATAGAAAAACCTGCTACCAATATCTGATAAGCCACAGACAACACAGTCACCTCCCTCAAAAGATGGACACCCGAGGACCATGTGTGTCATATGGCCAAGTTCAAACGCCTTAGATCTCTTCTCGTCTCTCTCCCTTTGCCCGCCCTCCACTGCTTGGCTGGACAATTAAGAAGTCTGGAACTAGAGTGCAGCAGTATCACTTACTATGCAGTACCAATGTGTTCCTCCTGCCCTTCCTGGAATCCCAGCCTGAGAGTTAGTCTTGTGTCCATGACCATCCCACCCTGAATGTGCCCGGTCTTGTCAGATCTTGGCTAAGCACGGCTGGGCCTGGTTAGTATTTGGATGGGAGTTATTGTGATGACTAACCAACTATTTGTGCCAGGACCAACAAGCACAACTAAACACTGTACTTTTAAACTTGTGTTTGACAGGCACCTCTACTGAGACACAGTGCTCTATCCTCTATCTTATTCCAAATATTGTGAAATATCACTAGTGATTCATGAAGTGGTTTAATGCAATTACAAATATGTGTGTATTTTATATATACCTGCAACATACACAAATTCCATATGATATTCCATATGATAATTAGAATACAAAATATAAGCAATTATATCAAAAATAATCAAAGCCATTATCACTAGGGGCCAGATGAGAGTGGTAGAGGATATGTATGTATATATGTATGTATGTATGTATGATGCCCAAATTGCTCAGCCAACCCAAGGTGCCATGAGTATGGAAGAGTGGCACTGCTCATATGGGCGCTCTCCAGCTTGTGGACATAAACCTCTCTCATGTATCTCTCGGACACCTTGGGGATGCAAAGAAACAATCAGAGAGAAGTTTAAAGAGCTCCTACAGGCAAAGGCTACAAACACGGCTCCCAGCTTCAGCAAAGAGACAGTTGTGAAGAAGGTGAAAGTGGGCTGGATGGCTCAGGTGGTAAAGTACTTGCTGAGCACTTAGGTCCCCAATACCCAGGTAAAAAGCTAGGTGCAGCAGTGTGTGCCTGTAATCCCAGTACTAGGGAGGTAGAAATTGGCAAATCCCTAGAACGTGACGGCTTGCTGCTGGTCCAGGTGAATCAACGAGTTCCAAGTTCAGTGGGAGACCTTGTTTCAAGAATTAAAGTGGAGAAGCTATTAAGAAAGACTCCCCAACACCAACTTCAGTGCCTCCTCATGCACACACACACACACACACACACACACACACACACGTACTCCCACACAAACACATGCACATACACATACACACATGAACACCTACACATGCATATCAGCTACATCAAAAAATAAGAGAGAGAAAGTAAGACTCCTGTGAAACTGGGCCAAGCACACCCTGGAGCTGGGAGACCATGCCTGTTTCAGACGGGAGCTAGAATACACTTACTCCTTCGTAGGCCTTCTCATAGCCATCAGGATTGAGGGAGGGGAGGATGTGGATCCGTGTCTCCTCCACCAAGCGGACGATGCGCGTGTTCTGCGCCAAGTACTCCTGGCAGAGGAACTGTAGCAGCAGCAGCAGCAGCTCTCGGCCCAGGACCTCGTTGCCATGGGCCCCCGCGATGTAGTGGAACTCAGGCTCACCTTGACAGAGACAGACACACAGGCTCCTGCAGGCATCCACAGGGGGCCTGGCGAGGTTTGGAAGGACACAAACAACCTTACAGCCATACATTTTTTTCTTTCAATTTAAATAAGCCTCCAAAATTATATTGGGATAATTATCTTAAACCTAAATGCTCAGGCAGGTAAGAAAAAACAATGTGGAGAGCAAGTCTTAACAACTAGAGCCAGGGGGATGTGCTCGTAGCAAGAACAGACCAAATATCTCAGTGCTTATGATCACAACCTAAACACAAAGTGGCCATTGCTTTTCTCTTCTATGATGCACTCTTTCTCTGGGAATTTCTTATTACATTTTTTTTTTTCCAGAAGCCAATGAATGAATACATGATGATTCCTTAAAGGGAATCATCAAGGACACAGTTTGGTTAATGGTTGAATATTCTCTCTTCTACAAAACTTACCTTCCTACTGAGAGGTGCTATGGATTTGTGTGTGTGTGTGTGTCTAAAATTCATGTTCAAGTCAAGAGTCTAGGATGGTATGAAGAGGTGGGGCCTTTAGGAGAGGAGGAAGGATTAGTGTAATTGTAGAATGGTTTATGAGAATGTAGCCTTCCGCTGCCTTGTATCACGCAAGGGTGGAGCAGAAAACAGGCCCTTGCCAGACTCCAGGGGTGCTGCCGTCTTGATCTTGAACTTCCCAGGCTCCAAAATTATAAGAAATAAATTCCTGTTGTTAGTAAAGGCTATTTTGTTACAGCAGCTGAACAGACTCAGGCTATCCTGCTGGGCATGGCTCATCACAATGCCCTTGTCAGGCCACTGTGTGTGAGAAAACATAATTTTATCCACAGGTAAGGCCTTTGCCCCCTAAAAGAAACTCCTGAGATGAACCCCTGAGCCATGAGACATGGAAGAACAATAAAGCTGAACAAGTCTGACCTATCTTTGCACCGAACTTTCAGTGGATTTTGAGAGCTTGGTCAGTCTTACCAACAGGAAAACCAGAGGTCACCTAATCCACAGGGGACTTGGAGTAGTGATGACTGAATAGAAAATAACTAAGGGCAGGCAGCATTTAAAGACAATACGTTTTTCAAAAGAGGGGGGACCCCCTGTAATTTGAGTCATTCATGAATCAGAGAGTCTAGAATGTTCTCCTGGAAGAAGAATCTGCCTTTCATCCAGCCATTTTCTCCTTTGTCTTGTGATTGGCCTCAGAAGCAGAGAGCACAATTGAATGTGGTCCCTGTGCAGCAAAGGAGAGGCCTTCAAACTCAGAGAGCGTCACAGCTCTTCTGAGATATGAGGGGCACAGAACTGAAATCCACTTGTCTGCATGAAATGTTTGTGGCCTGGCGTGGTTCATCCCTGGAATCATGAACACTGTAATATGGGGTGTGTGGAGAGGCTTCAAGTTAGGCAAGAAGCTACTAAAGATGGGGTACCATCTTCTTGGGTGGGGAGCTGACACAGTTATTATCAGCTATCAACCAGACACAAACCTAGGGTCACTTGGGAAGAAGGAACCACAGCTGAAGAAATACCACCATCAAATTGGCCTGTGGCCATGTCTGTGAACTTATTTTCTTAATTGTGCTTGATATAGAAGAGCCCAGCCCACTGTGGGCGTACCATCCCCTATGCAGGTGGTGCTGGGCTGTATTAAAAAAACGATAGCTGAGAAAGGTAATCAGCAGAATTATTCTGCTTTAGCTCCTGCCTTCGACTCCCATTTGATTTCTTTCCCTGGTTTCCCTTGATGGTGAGCTTATGACCTGAGAGTGGAAACAGACCCTTTCTTTCTAAGCTGCTTTTACTTATGGTGTTTGTTACAGCGACAGAAAGCAAACCAAGACAGAACTCTTTCTCACCGACTTCATGTTCCCCGGGATGGTCAGAGATCTCTACAGCATACAACTTCAGGCCCTGATGGCTTTTGCCAATGTTGTAAATTCTAGTGATGTTGGGGCACATTTCATTCACAACCTTCATCAACTGAAAGACAAAGTAAATGAAAAGTTTTGAGTCATGATGGCTACATAATAAGAAAGTAGTACTCCCCAAAAGAAAGCTATCTCCACAGCCTCCTAGCCCAGCACTCCTCTTCTCCCCACAATTCCACTCCTATACCTCTGTCTAGAACACCCTCTCTTGTCCCCTGTTTCTCAGGATAATACCCACCTTTCCAGCCAGGACATATCCTTTGGCCATCTCCTCTAAGAAGAAGCTCTTGGCCATTGCCCACCCTGGCCCTGTACTGTCAGCATATTTGATTATTAGGGTTATAGCCTCTTGCTACAGACTGAAAGTCTGTGTCCCTCAGCTGAAATCTAATCAAGGCAACAGTATTTAAAGGGGAAGCAAGATGGTAAAGACACTTGCTGAAAACCTGATGGCCTGAGTTCCATCCCTGGAACCCGCATACTAGGAGGAGAAAACCAATTCCCACAAGGAGTCCTCTGATTGAAACGTGTATGCAGATTCATGCACATGCTCATATCCCAAGACACCTAATAGATAAATGTAATAAAATATTCTTTATAAAAACAAGTGAAGCACTGGATGGTAATTATGTCACATGGCAGAGGCTTTGTAAGCAGGAATAGAACCCTTTAAAAGAGACAAAGGACTTGTGTTCTCCATATGTGTGCAGCTGTGGAAAGGCCACATGTCTTGGCCTTGGCCTATGTCATGAACTAGTGGATGAGCCTCAGCGGCTACTACATCTGCCAGCACCTTGAGCTTGGGTGTTTAGTCTCTAGAACTGCAAACAGAGTGCCTCTATTGTCTACTCATCAGCTACTTGATGGCATCTCCGTTCCAACGGTTTCCCTAGGGTAAGGCATCTTCCTGGGTTGGGATTTTCATCTCTCTCCGACGTGACATGTGACATGTGATGATCACCCCCCAGGTTGTCATCACCTCCTTGGCTGCAGTCAGCACCTTCATGGTTGTGGTCATGACTTTCTCCCTGTGATCTCCACCTTTCTGAACCAGTCTCTTTGGAGATCAAACTGTGCAAAAATGGGGTATTGGATATTAAGTCCTTCATAATCACTACCCACCTGAAGAAGGTGGCCCTGCTTTTCTGGAGCTGGCAGCGCAGTGGGAAGAAGGCATAGGACAACCCAGTCCATGCATGCTAAGTAAGGACAGCATTTGGTGGCCATGGACACAAACTTCATGGGGCCAAATGGTGAGCAATGCAAGTGCAGCGGGGAATGAACCCACATGGTGTGATTGAGATTTTAAGACAGCTTTGGTGTATGAGAATGATGTGAGCTATCAGGGAAGGTAGTGAGGGCCCTAGTGAGAAAGTCAGCTTCGGGGGGGGGGTGGAGAACCAGAGACATCCTCCTCCAGGGGTTGCCTTGCTTCACATTCCTGACCACTGTGAGCACTATATGTTGGCTGAAAGGTGCTTTGCAATCCCCAGAGCATCACACCCGGGATTAAAGAACACTGTTTTCTATCTATATTTACCGAGGATCCCACTCTCCACCAGGCACCATACAGAGGGTGAAGATGGAGAGTTTAGGGCCATGTTAAGAACAGAAGGAATGCTCAGGCACTGGCAGAGCAGAGGAAGAACATCCTGACAAGGGTGATGAGCAGAAGTACCCATTAGAAGGGCACGGCCACTCTGAAACTGCATGCGCCCCTATGAAAGATGGCCACAGCGCACTTGCCTCAAGGTCCTGTGGACTGGACTCCTCCCAGTGCAGTCACCTGCAGACAAGGATCCCAGCAGGTCCTGATTGGCAAGTAAGCCACTGTCGCGAGTTCAGACTAAAGATTAGCCTTCAGGAAGAAGACCTAGGTAGCTCATTGCTACTTGGCAACAGATATAAGTGTCAAGTGTAGACCTGGCTTCCCTTTTCTGTTACTCTCTATCTTTAGCGCAGCCAGCACTAAAGATCACTAAAGATCACTAAAGCTACCCACCAGAGGAAGACTAATATCATCTTCCCCTGGGTGCACATTTGGCAATGGCTACAAGAAGCCACTTGGGCTACGAGGAGTCTTTAGAATCCATGTTCTTCACTGTACTCTGTCCTCCACTGCAGTATTTTATCCCAACCCTGCTTTCTCTGCAATGATTGGTGTTATTTAAATAAGACTGTGTGTCACTAGACTGTCGTACCAAAGTCAACTTACCCTGAGCATTGTCACAGAGAAATCCCTTTACTTAAACATAACTCCTTCTTGTGAGAAAATATAATTACTTGGTCCTGAAAAGAGTTAGACATTCTTTTTATGGTATCCCGGTCAGCAATGGCTAATCTTGATTAGCAGCTTGGATATACCTCCGTTGGATTGGTCCATGGAGACATATGTGAGGCCCTTTTCTTGAGTACTAGTTTATGTAAGAGGGCCTGGGTATCCTTAGGCAGATGATCCTGGGGGTTATAAGGTAGCTAAGCAAGCCAGGAGAAATGAGCCAGTAAGCAGTGCTCCTCGCTAGCTTCTGTTCTATTTCCTGCCTCCAGGGTCTTGCCCTGACTTCTCTGACTGTTCCCTCTCCAAGTTGCTTATGGCTGTGGCATTTACCATGGCAACAGAAACCAATCAGCAATAAGGTCTTTGTGGTAAGTGTGTAGGTCCTGATGGTGAACAGAGTGAGAGGTAGGGTTTCCTCAGGACCCAGAGCATATATCTTCAACACGGTGATTAATCTGGTTCTGTGGGTCTGAAACACCTTGTATATCATGGTGCACTCGACTCCTCAAAGCTCAACCCCATTGGTTGAGCTGTTAAAATTTGATATAATGGAGGGGAAAGCAACTAAGAAAAGAATGTTGAAACAGCTCCTTGGAGGGGGAGGGGAAGTGACACAGTAGAGAATAATGGGGTGTCGCTTGACTCGTTCACCTCTGAAATAGGAAAGTACATCACCATCTTAGTAGCCAATGAAGTGTGGGCTCCCCTCTTTCCCTCCTTTGCTGAAGAAGATAGAATAATGAGATGCTTTTCTAGTAATCCAATTTTTCGGTAATACATCTGAAGGAAAGTGTTCGTGAAAAATGCTAAAATTATACACATGATGACACTTGTAGCATGTTTCCTACTTTGGCACAGTCATTAAAAATTGGGAGGCTTCCAAATGCTTCAGAGCAGGGGGAAAGCTGCTAAGCCACAACGCGTTCACTCAGCAGCCCGTGTGGCAGCATTGGAGACAGCAGGGGGAGGAGGGGATGCTAGGGAACCAACTCTGAGAGACATGGGGCAAAGGCAGAGCTGTGTTCTAACCGCAGAATCTGTGAACAGGAGTACAAGCATGGCGGGCTAGAAACCTGCCTATGTAGCTTGAGTGTGTGCGTTTTCCAAGTCCACAAGGTGGAACCCATGACCCAATTCCATGATAGGTAGGGGTGGGGAGTTTTCTAGGGGGTAATTAAGTCACATAGGTTCTGCCCTCATCAGTGGAATGAGTAACTTTGTGAAGAAACTAGAGGAAACTAGGTAGGCCATTTTGCCTTTCCACCTTTCACATGATGACCCAGAAACAAGGTGCCATATTGGAAGTAGAGAATGGCCCTCACTAGATACAGAATCAGCTGGTGTCTTGATTCTAGGTTTCCAATATCAAGAACTACAAAAAAGCAACTTTTAGGGTTTAGAACTTACTCACTTTCTGGACTTCCATTAATCTGTGAACAGCCCAAGACAAGAAAGATATGAAAATTGCTGACTCACCAGTACAATGAGTCTATGGAGAATTCTTTAGACCTGGGGCTCTTTGTTGATATAAAAATGCTTGTCTAGTGATTGGAAGTGTTTCTAAAAGAATTGTTTAAAGCACCAGATATAAAGTTTTTTTCCATCATCTTTCTTCAGAGACTACCTCTAATCCAATGAAAAAGAAATTCTCAAAGGAAGGAGGAGGGAGGAAACCACAGTGAAGGGCATCCATGGTCAGAAATTTGGTTATCTGGACTCCTTGCCCTGGCTTCCTGCCATCACCATCCTGTCCTCATGCTCAGGCTAACCACAGAGCATATTGGCAGGCTCAGCTAACTTCCCCCACAGCCTAACATTCCTGGCCATCCTCAACCACCCCTACATCAGTACTGCCAGCCAGCTGCCCTCCAACTTCTGTCTTACACCTTAACTGTTTTCTGCCTTCATCATACTAAATAGCAGCCAATCTGTATCTACCTCCTGAACACCTGGGGTCCAGCTCTATCGCATCTCAAATCAAAGACAAGGTACGCTTTCTTGGGAAACCAACATCTTTCCTACCTGGGAAAGGCAAGCCATTCCCCAATGAGAGCATGCCACGCCCTACCTCAAATATACTCTAACATAGAGCTCAGGTCAAATACCTACTGCAGAAACGCCTCTTCATTTATCCCTGCCCTATCTCTAAAGTTCCTTTCCTAGGAGCTGTGGCAGGGCTTACCAGCCTTCGCTCCACATAGGGAAGGAACACAGCTCACTGGACCTGTCTTCTTTCCCAGCACCCACCAATATTCCTACCTCTACCCCTTTATTCTTGCTGGCCTCTTTGTTTAGACAGAGACCGACCATCTTCTTCCCGTACTGTCTGCTAACGTCTGCCAACAATTCAGATATCAACTGATCCCAGCTATATCCAAAGCTTCTCCAAACTACGAGTGAGCAAACCCACCTGTCCTTATTCCATTTGTGACTATAATGATGACATTAAGCATATGTATGCTACACGACTATAGTGATGACATTAAGCATATGTATTGTACATTTCATATTATAGACTTACATAAATGATAGGAATATTGCCCCCATCATTCCAAATGAAGGAGGTGAGAAATGCATATTTAAACAAGTAACCAGGGAGTTATAAACATACACACACACACACACACACACACACACACACACACACACACACACACGGAAAGACTCCAATGTTCTCTTGGCACAATTCTCTCTGCCTCAATGTATGGATGTTGGGATAGTCTTCACCTTCTCTGCCTTCCCCACATTTGCTCCCTCCCTCTACCTGGAACAAGAGCCATGTAACTCAGTGCAGTGAAGTCATATGCTGCACGTGAGCCACGCACGTTCTCCCTGCTGTCCTCTTACAGCAGTGGGATGAGCATCTATTCTTATTTTGATTCCTTCTCATCGCTGCTTCTCATTTTATTGTTGGCTATAAATGTCTCTTTCGGTAGCCAACTATTTTTCCTGAGGTAGGAATGTTTCTACAGCCACCTAGAAGACTCCACAGAGGGAAAGGGCCAGCAATTCTGTCTTCTAATCCAACCCCAAGAACCAACAATCTACATGGCAATGGCTTCTGCCTGAGTACTCAGCTAGGACTGAGCAACACTCCCTGGACAGTTTTCAGCTCACTGCTTTGGGGCAGTAAGACTTAAGAGAGGGCCTCAACATGGCTGTACTGGTGACCCTGAGTCCTGTTAGCTCTGGCATCTCTGAGTGGTGATCACCATAGCCACCTCCTGGATAAAGCCCATACTCCCAGCTCTCCCTAGATGACCACAGGTAAGCATGTGGGGTAGCTGCTGCAAGGTCTCAGCAGAGAGCGACTCGGAGCAGTCAGTTTAGGTTATGAAGTTCATGGTGCCAACTGAATTGATATTTGTTCCATTTCTGGGCTTGAAGAGATGCCTTAGGACATCCATCAAGCAAGGCTGGGTTAACCCGACAGAGCTCCCGAAGACAGGATGGTGGGCAGAGCCACAAAAATACCCTTAGAAAGTGGAGCAGCAGGCATGAGTCACAAACCTCAAGTCCAAGCACATTAGCTCTGTTTCTGAAGAGCAAGACAGTAAGAGGAGTTCTTTAGCACATCCCACCACTCTGTCTGTGCTGACAGGTGTCTGGAAGCTATGCGTAACTCAAGTTAAATGACAGAGAGACAAGCCAAGCATGTTCATTCCATGGAACTGAACCTCAGCTTAATGACTCTGATCTCAGAAACATCTCCTGCCTTCATCCTGGGCAGCTAGCTCCTTCCCTAAGCCCGCAAGCCCTCCCTCTGAGCTGCATTAACTAGCCTTTGGTGAGTCCTTACTTGCCAGTATAATCCTGAGGTTATTTCTGCTTGTTCTTGTCTTCAAGGAAAGTCTTGACTAACTAAGGACCTTTTGTTTACCAATGCCTTCTCACACATTCTAGCACATTGTCTTGGAATACTGTCCTCTGGGCACACCGGTCACTATCATCTTCTACAGAACAGCGGTGACTACTTGTAAGAGACCCTCAAGATTCAACCCATTGACAGTTGCCCTCCCTCATAGAAGGAAGGAGAAGGGCCATTGGATGGTCCAGCCATTCCCTCCTGTCCCTCCTGTCAGCTGAATGTTATTCTGTTCTAGCAACAAGTGGCTACTTTAGCATCGCCTACATTCCTGTAAGTGACCCCAAACCTATGTATGTCAGTGGTTCCCTTTCTGAGGTGTACAAACATTTGCTTATGTCTCCCTAGGAAACATGCAATACACATTCTGAGTGTAAACAAGGAACGGGTTTCAGAGACAGTGAGCCAAGAGCAGGTACTGCCCTTTTGCCATTCTCATACATGTGCTGCAGCCAACACGCCCAGGCTGACACAGCTCTGAGTTACTGAGACTCTGGGCCAACCTGAGAAAATCACACTTGATCACCAATTCCTGCTACCTGTACTCAGATTTCCCCAAACACCAGTCACAGGTTCTGAGGCCTGGCTGCACAGAAGTACAGGGCAACCTGTAGAACACTCCTGCTAAGGTTTCAACTTCACTGTGTCTGAGGTGGCTCATGTGTAGGGGTTTTATAAATTTCCAGGTCACTCTAGTTGATAACCAAGATTGGGATCAGAAGATGAATATTGTGCTATGGGGTAATAGTGGTATATAGTATCACAGTGACTCAGTTTCCCTGTCGATAAGAGAACATAATCACAGTCCCATGCTTCTGGACTCTTAGAACATGTTAATAGAACTCAATAGTATAACACAGCATGCAGACTCATGGAAAATCTTCTTGTTCTACCATGAACACCCTCTAATCTTTTTTTTTTTTTAAGACATGGTTTCTCTGTGTAGCCTTCACTGTCCTGGACTCCCTTTGTATACCAGGCTGACCTTGAACTCACAGTGACCTGCCTGCCTCTGCTGCCCTGAGTGCTGGGATTAAAGGTGTGAGCCACCATGCCTGGTTCCCCTCTCATCTTCAAGTCCACATTCATTAATATCTTCAGCCAGTGACCCAATTCAAATACGTAGAACCTTTAGGAACTAAAACTTCAGCAAAAAAGTCTATCTTTGAGCCCCACTTGAGCCATTTCCTAGCAAAGGAGGCCCCGTTTGGTTGCCCAGAGGAATCACACATGGTCCTTAGTGGTCCTTGCCCTGTTGCTCTTTAACAAAGTCATGTTGAATCCCCCTGGATTCAACTCTGGTCTTACCTGGCGCATTTCCTTGTAGTTGTGGTGCTTAAAATCCAGGTCATCAGTGGTGGTCATCTCATTGCGTCGGTGATAATAGTTATTAGGATCTAGGGACAGAAAGATGGTTTTGAATTCATTCACAGTTAGGACAGCCCTGATAGGAGCCTAGTTTATGTGATGACAGGAGAGACAGACAGAGAGCTGAACTTCTAACATTGGTTCAGAGGCAAAAGCACCAGGTCACTGGGAGGAGGTGAGAGTTGGAACTGTTTGGTGATTAAGAATGCACAGTGTATAGATTTCATTATGTTTATTATATCTTATAGGTCTATATAAGTGAGTATATACCATGTTTGTCTTTCTCCTTCTGGGATATTTCACTCAAGATGATCTTTTCTAGATTCCACCATTTGCCTGCAAATTTCATGATTTCCTCCTTTTTGATTGCTGAGTAGTATTCCATTGTGTAAAAATACCACAATTTCTGTACCCATTCCTCCGTTGATGGACATCTGGGTTGTTTCCAGGTTCTGGCTATTACAAATAAAGCTGCTATAAACATGGTTGAGCAAATATCCCTTTTGTGTACTTGAGCAAACTTTGGGTATATACCTAGCAGTGGTATAGCTGGGTCTTGAGGAAGCACTATTCCTAATTGTCTTAGAAAGCGCCAGATAGATTTCCAGAGTGGTTGTACCAGTTTACATTCCCACCAGCAGTGGAGGAGGGTTTCCCTTTCTCCACAACCTCTCCAGCATGTGAGATACTCAAGAGAGCAGACATGGGGTAAGATTATCAATCCTCGTTTTGAAAGACAGATGGGATACGCATTGAACATTGACAGGAGTCTACTGAGCGCATTGGAAAGACTCTAACTAGTGGTGTTTTCAAAGCAAAGACTCGTGACCAAACCTTTGGCAGGGTGCAGGGAATCATAAGAAAGAAGGGGAGTTAGACTGATGAGGAAAGGATAGGAGCTCCACAAGGACCAAAGATATCTGGGCACAGGGTCTTTTCTGAGACTGACATGCAACCAAGGATCATGTATGAATGTAACCTAGAACCTCTGCTCAGATGTAGCCTGTGGTAGCTCAGTAACCAATTGGTTTCCCATAGTGAGGGGAACAAGGACTATTTCTAACAGGAACTCAATGGCTGGCTCTTTGGCCTCCCCACCCCCCAAGGGAGGAGCAGTACTGTTAGGCCACAGAGGAGAGCTTTGCAGCCAGTCCTGAGGATACCTGATAAAACAGGATCAGATGAATGGGGAGGAGGTCCCCCCTATCAGTGGACTTGGCAAGGGGCACGGTGGAGAGGAGGGAGGGAGGGACTGGGAGGGAATGAGGGATCGGGACACGGCTGGGGTACATAGTTAATAAAATGTAACTGATAAGAAAAAAAAAAGAAGTTCAAGACAGGATATGGCTTTTATTTTATTTTATTTTATTTTATTTTATTTTATTTTATTTTATTTTATTTTATTTTATTTTATTTTCATCTTAAGCTATTCACAGCAACCCTTGTCCTAAGTGGTCTGGAATTTGCATCTGCTAGAATTTGGTGATTTTATTGGCATATTGGCAAACTGGTAACTAGTGAGAATTTGAGGGAGGGGAATGAAAGAGAATGTTTAGGGCCATTAGCATTTAAAATAAATGAATGGTGTCACATTTAAAAAAAAAAAAAGAATGCACAGTGACAAGGTGTGGACCTAAATCTCTTCGTAATGCTGCATGGCCTTGGACAAGCCACTTGAGTAGTCTGTGCCTTACTTTTTCACCTGTATGCAGGAAAAGAATGGTATCTTCTTTGTTGGTATACAGTGAGCAGTAGAAGAGACAGAAGAATAGAAGAGATAGCATTGTGCCTAGCCTGCTGTCAGGAGTAAACAAGTAGTTATGAACTTCAAAATGATAAGCACATCCTTGGAGACATTAGGAAGCTCATGCCCACTCTTAGTCATTCACAGCACCCAGTTGCTCTGACTGCACCAGCAGAGGCAAAGCTCTTTGGCACAGAGGAAGAGACAGTGACAAATCTCTCTCCTGGCAAAGGTTGCTGGAACACTGCCCTCTTGCTGTGGTGGCCACTGGACCATGAAGGAATTGGTTCCAGTATAACCTCAGTGACCAGCAGGACACAGAAGCCCAAAGACAGCAAAAGCTCCTGGCCAGTGAACCTTGAAACCATCCTTCTAAGATATTTAGAATCAGAGGCACCTGCTGTAATTTTCATATGAAATGTCCTCACAGACTCATGTCCCCAGTTAGTGACGTATTTTAAGGTGTAGTATAACATTTAGTATGCAGGGCCTAGCTATAGAGATTAGGGTGTGCCTTTGAAAGTTCTGTCTGGTTCCCAGTCTCTGTCTGCCTCATTCTCTCTCTACTTCCTGCCTACTCTGACATGAAGAGCTTCCTCCACCCACATGTTCCCACAGCCATTGTGTCCTGTCTCACCACAGGCCCAGTCAATGGACCCAAGGACCATGATCCAGAAACCCTGGAACTATGATCCAAGATCCATCTTTCCTCCTTGTCAGTTGTTTACCACAAGTATTTTGTTACAGAGATGAAACCCTTACAGACACAGCAGCCTCACGGATCAGTGTGGTAACAGAGGTAACCCTGGAGACAGGAGCTCTGGCTCGGGGAGCACAGCCTGCACCCCCTTTTCATTCAACCTGAGTTTTCTCTTCAATTCCTATTGTGTTGTGTATATTATCCCAAAGTAAAGAACATGCAGAAGAGAGATGGCAGGGTGGAGGAAGAGCATGGAGATGACTGACAAGAAGGGACCATAGATCTGCCCTGACATCTATGTCCTCATCTGAGGAAGAACGTCAGAAGTTCTCAGGCCCTGGTCATCATGCTGACATGTCCCACTGGAAGATTAAGTCACAAAGTCTTGGTCAGCAACCCCATGCGAAGAGCACTCAGAGATTTGGAAAGCTACAACAGCTTGGGCTCCCCACAAGTGGCTCAAAGGCCCATTCTGGAAGCAGGGGCAATGTGGGTAGCAGAAAGGCCCTGGGATGTCAGGATCACCAAGGAGCCATCTAAGTTCCCAGACTAGGACTACCAGCTACCTAATAGCACCACCTCAGCCCTACCCAGGCAGATTCCACATCATAACAAAAGTCTGGCTGACTCTACAGGCTCTGTGTGAGAAGCGTTAAGCCATGACTACATCACAGAGGCAGAAGGGGGCAGCAAGGCGAGCTTCACACACCCACATCAGCTATCCCTGCTGGTGCCCTAACAAGTGGCTTTAGCCTTGGAAACCGAGGCCGTAGACAGAAAATTATGAGTCACATGAGGCCTCAAATACCAAATCTACTGTTAAATCTTCATGAAAGATCTAGAAATACCATCAGAAACAAGTAACTGCCGAGGGAGGCAGTAACTTGTGGAAAGGAGATAGGCATTTTGTCCAGGCAAGAAAGTCAAAGCCATCTAGGCTTATCCAAGACCCCAGTTATTTCTCAAACGTCTGCTTGGGACACAGGCTGCCCATGCCTCTGGAGAGAGCTTTCCAGGTCCATGGATTCCAAAGCAAAGGTAAAGAGTGACTGTTTTTGTTTTGTTTTTGCCATTGGTTGACACTGACTTCAACATGCCATTTTCTGAGAACTATCCACTACCTCAGGGGTGTCTTTCCAAAGGATTTGAAAGCCCCTTTGGTTTTCAAACACCAGTTATACCTTCAAGGTTGAAGAAAAAGCTCAGAGTTCTAGGTACAAAAGAATTGTTGATCAAGAAATATCCTTCCTGGAGACTAGTCACTATGTTAAAAGATCCAGGACTAGATGCAGGGTGTAATCAAAATACCAATATCTTTCATGATGCTGAGTCTCCATGTCTAATGAATACTTCCTCACTTGTCTTTTCGAATTGACCTCAAGAACACAGTTAGCCTGTCAGCTGTCTACTGCTATCCCTGGCTTCCTTATGTTACTGAAGAGTCCCTTTCTCTCATCAACACCTATTTAACATGGTTCTGAGGAACTGTCTTGCCCCATATGCCCGGTGCAAGCCTGTGACTCAGGTCCAGACCATGAACCCATTTGCCCAAGCCAGTAGCTAGCTCAGAGATCATCCTGGGACAAGAGCCATGCTCTCAGTGCAGCCATCCTCACTGAGTGCCAAGTTCTTCTAAAAGAAGTAACTTGTGCCCTTCCCTTTGGCATTGCAGCAAAGATGCTCAAGGAACTGAACTCTCTCCAGGAATATCATGCTAGGGAAGGGACAAGGCTGAAGCCCAGTGCCAGCCAGAGAAAGGGCTGTCCTCCCAGTTCTGAGCACCTCATAGCAGAGGCTGGAGTCTAGACAGTGATGGGTTGGTGATGGGCGGGCAAGGTGGCATCTTGGCCAGGAATGCTCAGAGTTATGTATAACTGCCACCCTCTATTTAAACCTATGTCAGGACCCATAATATGGATGTAGAGGTTTATTGCACCTCATTGTCTGTTTTTTTTCCCAGTGAGGCTACCCTAAATTTCCTTTCTGCGAATTCCACCATGGCTTGTCTCTTTAACAGGAGTGGTGAGTGTGAGTATCTGAGCCTAGCTTTTTAGGGCTGCTAGGGCCCAGGGTCTGGTCCTAATTACTCCAGTGACATCAGAGCCGTAGGGGCGTCTCTTTCTTCTGGGGTCGTGCAGGTGGCAGGAAGTGGAATGCTAGTGAAAACCTGTCAGTCTGCAAAAGGGGGTCGGAGACAGCCCTGACTGCAACAAGAACGCCCTGAGGTGTCAGCCCACCCCTGCCTGAAGCCCAGCACACCCGCCCCTGAAGTTTTCACTTCTCAGCCAAATTCTTTCTCCTTAAGTGAATCTGAGTAGGACTTCTGGCATTTGAAGCACAAGTCCTGAATGACTGATTCCATCTCTGTGCCGTTATTATCACAGATGGCGCTCTGGCAAGCCAGCTTCCTGCCTGTTTCCACGTGGTTAGTTTTTAAGATCCTTTGTACTAAAACCCAGTGATTCCTTGGGGGAGTCCTTACCTACAGAGAGAGAAAACTCCAGGCACAGCACCTAAAATCCTTCATCCAGCCTACTCACTTCATTAACCTAGCCCAACCTTCTGTTCTCAACATTCCAGCCTACTAATTCAGCTGTCTGAGTCACCCTCTCAGTCGTGTGGTCTCAAGGGGATACTAGGCAAGACGAAAGAGAAAGGGAGGACTCTAGCCACCTGCTGCCCCAGCACCACTGGGGACAAATGAAGGTCAATATTCACATTCCTCTGGGGCAATGAGTTTTACAATACCCAAGACTCATGGCATGGTCAGAGGTCATTGACCCTTTTATGAAAGTAGTCACCAGGAGCCTCCCATGTTGGACTCCATTGAGGTCTGTTCTAAAGAGAACATCTGGTTTATATCCTGAGAAAGGGACAAACTGAAGCTAAAAGGAGAAAAGGACTCACTAGAGGATAAGACAAGAAAGAGAAGAATCATCTCCCCCTTCATGAGACGCAGATGCCAAAGCCTCAAAGGCAGCTACCTGCAGAACTTCACTGCAGGGCCAGCTCCAAGACACAGGGAATCAGAAAGCCATAAAGAGGCAGGTTTAAAGCTCTGTGATGAAGATCCAATCAGCTTAGGACTTCACGTGCTGGCCTTCCATAGTTTGATTTCAATGAACCAGCATTGGCCCTGGGAAACGAGAAAGAGCTACAGGCTGCCTGTGACCACTCCTAAATTTAAAGATGAACCAAGAACAGGGGCTTTAGATTGTCCACAAGTCTAACAAGTAAACCAGCAATAGTAAGAATGGTTGCCACTGCTGTAGGTGACAGGAATTAGTTATTCCGTCCGGGATTTTAAGGCACAGAACAAATCTTACTTGATGGATAAGATTAAGCTAAATGATATTAAACTTGAGTATTTCCTCCATAGGGTCATTGAGGCTTGCCTGCCTCCAACCTCACTGCAGGATCTGAGCTAGACCCTGTCTCTTGGGAACAGAATGTGACAGAACAGCACACTCAGCAACCTCCTCTGGCTTACTCTGAATACATACATCCTGCATGTGAGCACATATGCACACACCACACACACACACACACACACACACACACGCACACACACACACACACACACACACACACTAACTTCTTTTTTGATAGTCCCGGAAGGGTTCTCTGCTGTCACACCCGAGGCTCACATTCCTCAAGAAAAGGCCATTTTATACTTTCTTCATTAAAAAACACAAAGGACAAAGGTCCCTTGCACACAGCTCCTCCTTCCTAGGATGCTGTCTTACCTATTCACCTGTGCTCTATTCAGAGTAACTTTCTATTCCCCTTTGTCCTGACATCCCTGAGCCTGATGTTCAGGGTATTCCTCTTTCTAGACCAAATAAGTTGTCTCCAAGGGCCTTTCTGTTCTGCCTATTTAAGACAGAGTCTCCTTCTTCAGCTCAGGCTGTCCTAGAATTTACTATGTAGACCAGATTGGTTTTCATTCCATAGTAATCCTCCTGCCGCCGTTTCTGGAGTACTGGGATTACAGGCAGGTGGTACCATGTCTAGCTTCTAAATTTTTTTTTTAAATCATTGAAATAAAAAAAGAATGCAGGGACCCTGTATCTCTGGTAACATTCTACACGCAAAGTGGCCAACCTGTACTGGTTTTTCTAGGATTGTCCTGTCTGGTTCCAGTTGGTCACCTGACCTAATGAAGCATGTACAAGAAACACATCTTCCTTCTTATGACATAAAAAATAAATATCCTGGGGGCTGGAAAGATGACTCAGAGGTTAAGAGCACTGGCTGTTCTTTCAAAGGATCCAGGCTCAAATGCCAGCACCCATGTGGCAGTTCACAACTGTCTGCAATTCCAGTTCCAGAAGGTCTGACACCCTCACAGAGGCATACATGGAGGCAGAACACCAATGTAAATAAAATAAAATAATAATTAAGAAGTTTAAAAATAAATATCCTCTTCCCTTTAACAAAAACAAAAAATTAGTATGCCAAAACATTATTTAATCTCTCAAATCTTTTGACCACCATAATACCAGAAGCCATCAGAACTACATAGAAAGCTATTGTTAGGACATTAAAATGCAAAACACTGTGCCTACTGGGAGTGTACAACCCTCCTTTTCATACACATTTATTATCTATCTATCTATCTATCTATCTATCTATCTATCTATCATCTATCTACACCTGCATATAAATTTATATTAAAACTTAAAAAAATAAAACAAATTTGGCACCTGGGCATGGTGGCATACGATTTTAATCCCAGCACTTGGGAGGCAGAGGCAGGTGGGTCACTGTGAGTTCAAGGCCAGCCTGGTCTACAAAGCAAATCTAGAACAGCCAAGGCTACACAGAGAAACCCTGTCTCAAAAAATAAGTAAGTAAGTAAGTAAGTAAGTAAGTAAGTAAGTAAGTAAGTAAGTAAGTAAGTAAGTAAGTAAAGAAATAAAGAAATAAAGAAATAAAGAAATAAAGAAATGAGTAAATAAATAAATCTGGCTTTTAAAAATGAACCCACATATTTGTCAGGTAGAAATTAGAACCACACTAAATCCACACTTAAAACCACCCAGGTTTCCTAGTTCAACCATCTCTGTGATGCCCACCAAGAATAACCTAACAGAGATAATTATGGCATGGTACTCGCACAGGGTGCCCTGTGCCTTTTCCTAATAACACCTGGATTCCTGCCCGCAGAGGGAAGCCATGCCCCAATCTTTACAGCAAGAAAATGTAGGAGAGCTAAGCAAAGGTCCTGGACTGGAGGAAAGGGGACAGAGCCTCCCTACAGATGCTGGCCGAGATCTATGCCCAAGGATATCCTGAGCCGCATGAGCCCAGGTGGCTTCCGATGACAGCAGGCTGGATGTGAGACTGCAGCAGGAACCAGCTATGGAAGGAGGCTCAAATCCCAAATAGGTGTTCTCTGAGGAACTCTCCTTATCAACCTTAAAAATGTGCACAGCTTTTGTCCCAGCAATTTCACTTGTTACAACAAGTTCAAGCAACAACCATAGACAGAGGAATGGGGACACACACACACACACACACACACACACACACACACACACCATAGACAGAGAAATAAGAAGAGTAACTGCAAGAGTGTTTGCAGAATCAAAATATTCTAAACTACTGAATTTCTATCTACCACAAGCCAGTTAAAGAAGTGAGATTTTTGCCTATAGACCAGGAAAGAAAGATGCCTTCTTTCTTGGTTTCATTCTGTCAATGTGACGGAGAGCAATTTAGGAGAACAAAAGACTTATTTCACCTTACTGACCAGTCTATTGTTGAGGAAATTCAGTGCAGAAACTTGAAGTCAGTGCATGCTATTCTATGCAATATTATCTCTGACCAGGAACCCTCTTACAACTGAGGAAATGCAGCAGAACTGCACGTTCCTCACTCTCTGGCTTGTGCTTAGGTAGCTTTCTTATGCAGCCCAGGGAATGGTGCTGCCCACAGAGGGCAGGGCCTGCCTACATTAGTTAAAAATCAAGAAAATCCCCCACGCACAGACTTGCCCACAAGCCAACTTTATCTGGGTAACCTCTCAGGGGATATTCTCCTCTTGTGTAGCTCTATGTCTCAAGCTGACAGCCAAAGCTAAACAGGATAGGCTCCCATCATTCTCATGATGTGAAAAGATGGCAAGCTAGCAGGCACAAACAAACATAAGACACAAATATGTATGTATGTGTGTGTCTGCTAGGAGCATCATGATGTAAGCAGACAAAGCTGATTTTCTCACCCATGGAAGGTTCATGTTCTAAAAAACTACAGTTGGCAAAACCAGCTCATGCATATTACAGGACTGTGAGAAGAATAGTACTGTGGCATTTAACATGCTTTGAAACACACAGCCTATGCAAACTCATGGTGAGGCTGGGGTGACTGCTGAAATAGCATCAGAGCTGGTGGAGGACTGCCTCTAGCAGCACCAGGCAGGACTGGGGGCCACAGGCAGTGATGCTGCAGCTTATTCTGTGACTCCAGCGGTGAGCAGACACTGGGGAGATGAACATGCTTTGCTCTTGTTCTTTGTGATCTGACTTGAGGAGGACAGGAATGCGAGAGGTGCTCCAGGGAGGGTTTTAGGCCAGCTGCTTTCCTGGAGATGTCTGGCCTGGAGGAAGAAGCTCTCTTCATGGGTTCGTAGTGACACAGACCAATACCTTCTGAAAAGGCAGCCTAGACCAACCTGTCTAGAGCAGATACTGACAGGGGTGTGTGAATTCCCATTTTTATCTGGAAGTTAGATCCAAACACCATCATGTGAATATCAGGCCATATGAGTAGAAGGAGCAACTCTCCAGTGAAGACACAGGCATCCCGGGGAAGCTCTCAAGACAGCATCTGCGGATGCTCATGGTTAAGGTTCTTCCATCTCCTGCCCCACCTCTGCTTCCAATACAGTAACCGTGCATGTCTCGAGGGCAAACAAATTCTGTAGCACTGAGAGCTGAACCCAGAGCTTCCCACATTTACACATGCTTTACCACTAAGTGACATCCCTAGCTGACTGCCAGATGCTTTTTTTTTCACACTTCTGAGGAACAGCACTGAGTACTTTGCCAACCTTGACATACATAAACATCAACTTAAAATTACAACAGGCAAAGCCACACTTGGCAAGAGAGCTCAAGGCCACCAACGTTCATGTTCCCAAGTTGGGATTATGAAAAGCTGTTTTTCTTTCATTTTTGAATAACCTGCATGTTGACAGTGGACACAGGAAAATGTTGTCTCGGCTTATTTTGATTTGTCTTGGGAGACAGCTGTCTCCCATTAAGGAACAGCCTTGCAGGAGGTGCAGGGGACAAACTCACCTGGCAACGGGCAGCCTAAGATCTCCATCCTCATGCAGATGTTCCCATTATCAAACCAGGACTGCGGGTTGATGCGAATGTACCGGGCCACCATAGGGACCGGCAGCTCATTAAGCACGGGAATCTCCTTCTCACTGTTTCCTTCAAATATCTATTGACAATCAAGAGGAAAAAGAAAGCTTCTTAGGATCTTCATCGTCAAAGGTAAAACAGCCAGAAATTCACTCATTCCCTGGGATCCTATCAATCAGTACATATGCATGCCAGGAATCAAGGTAAAAGGGAACAAATCACCCCTGCATGCTGCCTCAGTAAGCCCCTGTCTCTCCATCTTTCACAAGGGCAAAAAAGATGTTCTAAAGCTCAGACTTTTAGAAGGAAGTGGACCAGAGCATGTTTTGGAGCAGAGAAAGGTTCTGTTCAGCCTGACAGTCAAGGAAGGCTGCTTAAACTGATAGGAATTGGGTGGAGTTCTGGGGAAAATCATGGAGAAGCCCCGTAGTGGGGTTCATAGATGGAGGATCAGCTGTTTCCATGCCGCTGCGGCACAGAGGACTGCTGAGGTAAGTAACAATGAGACAGAAGGCAGAGGGGGGGCTGCGGTCAGTGGGGAAGATGCTGGATGCCACATTGGGAGTGGCACTTGAGAATCTGAATCTGAGAGTGACAAAACCCCAGTGCTGAATTAATCATGCAAGGTGGCTAGAAAAGTCAGGGCTGTTGGGCGGGGGAGCGACAGATGCAGGAGTCCCCAGCTGCAATGTGCTAACTTGTAAACTGGATCAGAGGCGGCATCGCAGAAGTACTTTAGTTGGAATGAATACAGAATTCTGTGTCAACCCCAGCTATGGGCCACGTCAGGTTGGCCTTCAGAGCATAAACAGAAGGTCATGATACATCAGACTCTCCCGGTTGGTTTGGGTTTACACAGAATTGGTAAACTTCCCCAGGGAAGGACAAAGCCCATGGCCAGCCACCAATGGCATGGGCAGAAGGGAGAGGAGACTCACCCTGTCCCCAGATCCATTCTTCACAGTAACCCATGTGTGGCTGTCATTGCTCACCATGACTTTGTAGGATGTCACCCAGTCACTCCTGTGAGAAAATAAAATGTCACTGAGGTTCCATGTTTTAAAATGCTTACCCTTTCCGCTCAGAGGTGTGGATGTAAGGACAGGTACGTTTTCTCCAGGACTGGCCCCCTGACTCCCAGGGAGGTCCTGGAGGACAACATAGACTCTTGTCATTGCTCTCAGTTGCCCTTTCCAAGGAGATAAGAGCCCAGTGCTGTAGGCACCACACACTTTGATTGCAGAACATAGAGAGACCAATCTTGACCCTGCTGCCTGGCTTTCATAGTGCTAGAAGGTGGTATGGGTGTCACTGAGAGAGAATGGTCAGTGGTCTTACCCATGTAATACTGGACCATGCTTGCTAAAAGGCCAGACAACGCATGTCCTCAAGTGTAACTGGCACTTGCGGGGCTAACCAGCTGTTTTCCGGTTGTATTTGAGGCCTCCTCTGTAGGAGGGCATCCATTCCTGGTACTATAAACAAGGTCATAATCCCATAGTTGGGGAGAAAACTACTTTTGTTGTTCCATTAGGCAGCCATACTGCCAGACAGCTTCCTAAATATTTATGTTCCGGCCCATTAGACTGTGGTGCTCTCTCAACCATGGTCGGAGAAGCTTCTTTTTTGCAGCAGGCAAAGGTTAATACAAACTCATCACTGGTCAGAATTCTGAGAATCAGTCACTCCGGGACTCAGCCCTGAGGGGGACACTGTGCCAAGCAAGCTAAGCAAAGAGGGATGTAAGAGCCAGAGGATGGAGAAGAGTGCTGTGAAGTCCCTTCTGGACAAGACATAGCTGTTATACTCATGAATTCATGTTCACTGGCACAAGTCAAAATTCTGGCATGGATGGGGGCAGTACAGCCCCACTTCTAGCTGAAGAGCTAGTGGCAGTTGATGGGTGCTGTGGGAGGAGGACATTTTTCTTTGAGGTTGTGGCCAATGGTAGGTTGTCCATTCCTCAGTAGCTAGCCCACACCCATGTAGGTGTGGCCGGCACTGACAGGACTCAGCTATACAAAAGATGAAAAAGAGGGCATGAAGTGGGAAGGAGGACACGTTAGGGAGCTCTGGGGGGGACGTGAAGGGGGAAATAAGGGGAGATATGATCAAAATACATTATATACGTATATGAAATTCTCAAAAAATAAGTAATTACCATCAAAAACAAAGCAAAACAACCCTGGTTCCATGATACTTACTAGCCCTATAACCTTGTCTAGGTAACTAACCCACCTATGTCCCTTTATACAAAAAGTATAGAGCCTTGAAGGGTCTAAAGCCCTTTAAACACTTAGAATAATCCTTAGCCCCTGGCAAGGTCACATACATAAAGATACACAAACAAGACCATTTTTGTCTGTACTGAAATTACATCACACACTTCAGAAGCTTAATGGAGTCCAGCAGGGAAAAGTAATCTTGGCGAATGCTACAAATTGGTCTAGAAATTTCACTTGGTAAACTAACTTGGGAATGCAACAGATCAGTTCCAACCAGCCAAAAAAGCAACAGCTCTGAGTCTATGAGACCGTGGGGTGCTCCTCGTCTGTCACAGTCCCCACGCCAGCAAGAAGCCAGTGGGCTAGACCCAAAGCCAGAGCCCTGTCACCATGTCCCACCATACAGAGGACAAAGCAGCCATAATTTGACTTGCTGGAGTAGAGGTCAATCTGACAGCCATGGCAAAACCAAAACAAAACCCAAACAGGACTTTTATGTTTTTAATTGCTAGGCAATATGGGAAGGCCATTCTGTGTACGCCCCTTCCCAAAGCCTAGAATCCTGGCAGCAGCACCAGGCTCCAGCACTTCCTGTCTGTCCCTCCTGTAAATCTGCCTGCAGTCGGGTCCTGCAACCTCAGCCACTCAAGGGGCTGAAAGCAGAAGAATCAGAAGTTTCAGGCCAGCCTGGGCACTTTAGTCAGACCCTGTCCTAAAATCAACTGTAATAAAGCTGTTTGTGTATGACTTGGTGGCAGAGCACTTACCCAACATGCACGTTCTTGTCTGCCAGGAGACACCACAACAGAGTGGCCTAGCAGAACCAAACGACAGCAGCTACTCCTGACAACCACGCCCAAGCACCCCTCCACCCCTCCCCACCCAGCCTCTCCCACCCAGGCACCTGTATTCAGCCTCTAGGGAAGTTTTGCCAGCAAACTGCCTCTATCTTTCTAAAATGTTTCCGACTCTCTAGCTCCACCACCAGCAGCTGAGCCTATTCCTTCCAGCTGGGTCTCCTGGGAGCTAAACTCCCCTCCCTGAGCCTGTGCTGCAAAAGAGAAGCTGACTTTGCTAGAATCACATGACCAGGCACCTCCTAACTGCTATCTAAACATCAAGAATTCTTACAGTTATTTCGTTATGTGTGCCTCTCTTACATCAACTTACTTGCTGACTAGCCAAGTTTGTATATGGAGCATCTTAAATACTAAAGCCACATGGAATGTGGTAGAGAGTCCCAAGACCTTTCAGCCACTGTAATAGTCGAATCCAACCTCTGAGGGTACACAGCTAAATTACCCGTGACCCTTTCATTCAAGGTTTCTGAAAGTTAACAAAGAAGAGGTGAACAGAATGTTCAAGAGTGTGACTGTACCTGCAGGGGGTAGAGGAGAAAAGGAAGTGGCCACCTGAATGAGGATGCAGGCGAGTGGGAAAGCACAATCCTTACCTAACATAAAGCACTGCGTTTTTTTTTTTTCCCTTTGTGCCAGGCACATCCATTGTCATAAGCCAGCCTCCTGGGAGATTGGAGCGGCAAACTCCCTGTTTCCTGATCTCCTAATCTTCAGGGAAGGCTTGACAATCACAGCACTTTTGTGGCTTATTTCCGATTCCCTCAGAGGGATTATTCCATATCACAAATCTGCCTTGATATTCAGGCTTGACTCAAAGCTATGCAGTCCAAGCAGAGAAGTACAGGGTCAGAGGTCTCTAGACCATGGGAGGAGGCAGAGGCTGTGCTGAGCCTCCTGGGCCCTGGCAGCTCTCTCATTTGTGAATATAAAACAACACAAATCACCCTGAATGGTACTAGCTCACTTTCCTCCAGTACAGCCTTCTTTCAGATCAGATTTACAACAGGAGATGGAGCATGGACTCTGGAGTCAGAACCCATTGTAACATTCCATTGCAGTCTTCCTTACAGGTTCGCTGGACTCTGCTCACAGTAAGATAAATAAAGGTTTTATGTTACCAGTGAGCTTGCAAGTGAGTAAATAAGAGAAATCTCCAGGGATATGGGGGATACGAGCTGAAAGGGAGAAAAAAAATTTAAGCATAGTATAAGTTAACAAGCCGACATTGTTTTAGGGAGACGCATATAATGATAGTATCAGAACCTTTACCCTGCCAACTAGGAATGTTGAACTTGAAACCTTGCTCCCAAGACTCTTGAAGGGAGCGAAAGTACATTAGAAGGTCTTAGAGCATTAGTGAGTGCTTGGCTTCCGGCAGAGGTCCACAGGAATGGTCTCTGCAGAGGGGACTTTCTCTTAGGCCCTGGGAGGTTTCTCTAGGTGAGGGGGAGTAGGTAAGGATGATTCTAAAGCCTCACTCATCACCTTGAAAACACTCTCGGTGAGAAAGAGGAGGAAGAATTAGAAGGCAACAAATTCAGACTCAAGGGAATTTGAGAGTTTGGAGCTGCCACGTTACACATTTAAGTTTTCGGAATCATAGGTTTGCTAAGTACAAATTCTCCTCAACCTCCAGTAGGGCTGTGTCCTAGCGAAACCCATCCTAAGCCAGACGTGTCACCTACTGAGCATCAGACCTTAACAGCACAGCACACTCTGGAGCCTTGCAGTTGCGGGGGCGTGTGTGACTGACAGGCGTGGCTCACTCACTGCTGCAGCCAGCGTGGTGGCACTGCTCCACCACACATCGTCACTGGCTCATGAAAAAGTCAAAACCTAAGGTTTGATCTTCTAGTTAGGGAGCCAATTCTAAAGTCGCTTATCTGTGCCCAGGACATGGCAGATACCTTCCTAAGCACTTTGCAGATAGTAACTCATTTCTTTTTTCTCACTACAACCAAAAGGCGTAGGTGTAACTGTTTGAACTATAGATGGACCAGGAGGTCAAGGCTATAGAACACGAGACTCAAAACTCAATAGTTTGGTTATAGAATTCTCGTTTTTAGCCACTTTTATACATGGGCATACTTAAAGAAATAAAATACAAAATAAAAACACCAAAAGGAAACAGGATGGTATAAAATAAGCAACTAGATATGAAAAACGCACACAACCTTTAGAAACAAAAAAAAAAAAAATGCCATTAAAATTAAATGTATAGATACATTAAAAGTACTGGATAATGGCCAAAGAGAAAATCAACAAACAGTAATAAAGTTGAAGAAGTTACGAAGAACACAGCACTAAAATACCAGGAGGTAGAAAACCAAGAGAAGCTGACTGTGAAAGAATATATTCCTCATCAGAGTTTCACGCAAAGGCCAGGCAAAAGAAAGGAACCACAGTATTAGGAGAAACCTGGCTAGAACAGCCAAAGGACGTGAATCCACAGATTCAAGAGGAACAATGAATGGCAAGTAGAATCAATAAAAAGAAATTCACCCCCCACTGTAAGAAATAAATCCGTATGGTCCATTTTCAGTATAGAGTGCATTTATAGATCATTAATGAGTTGTAGATAATCATCAGGCACCAGGACTGCCTCTTCCCTACTTGGTGACTGGTGCCTGTCTGCAGAGGTACTCCCACTTGTCCTAGGGTGAAAAAGCCACAGGCAGTCTGCCAGGAAAGGAGGCATCTCAAGCCCTAAGATGTGTATTAGATATGACTTGGATGGAGAGTTTGGGGAATGGACGATGCTAAGCACCAGGAGGGGTACCTCTCCAAAGAACTCGGCCAGTGAAGAATTAGTTATGGTCCTGGACTGACTAAAAAGAAGACACAAGCAACATTCGTCACTGTGGATGTTGTATCCATACCCCACCAAGACGCACATACTCTGAAACTGTGAACTGCAAGAAACACTCAGGCCCTTACG